ACGCACATTGTAATCGACTTTTAGAGACAGTGATTTGTATGGCTGAGTTCCGTTAGCAATTGCACTTATGCAGCCACACTTTGACCTTGGAAACACAGTCGATATGAGATCTCTATTTTAGCCTTTATACTACTTTCACCGAATTATGCATTGTACATAGCCACTGAAATCATTCTATGACAAATAGTCGCATGGTGCTTATATTCGTGTTTTGGAGATCACAGGGATACAGTCACGAACATAGCTGACGGAGCGTGTCTGCGGATACCTACTGGGCACACCTAGCCGTGAGGACCAGATGGTCAAAAATCTTGCGAGTCACGACCAGCATGCATGCGTGCATGGTTTCGCTGGAGAAGTACAAATACGCAGAAGATTGACAGCGGGTGTCCAATACGTTTTCCATCAACTGTATGCATAGTGACTAGACAGTTATTTAATGCCTCATAAGCTGTGATTCAACCTATAATTTAATGAGATTAATGAGGTCAATCGCGATCAAGTTTACATTCAGTGATAATCCAGTTGCGGTGTGCGTAAAGAGATCCACTTTTGTAAAGAAGTGTGACCACAAAATACATACATTTTATCAGTTATTCATCTTCCCAAAGTTATGTGATTAGCTATTTAGTGAACACGGTTGTAAATCGTTCCTAAGGGTAAAGGAACTGGCAAAAGTGTAGAATCTTTGTTGATTATCGACTAACGCCAGCTATTTCCTTACTCCGATTGACCGACATCAAGCTGCGTATTTGGTCAGTGTTGTGCTCAATTTTTAAACGTTTCAAGCGTTATGACATAACTTCATTGGCATGGCTTTCCTGAATGTTAAAAACAAGGATTTATGTTACGTAAAAAACCTTGAACGATAAACATTTGTTCGTGCATCCATTTGCCGTGACATTTTTTACGATCGATGACCTCGGATGACTTTCTTTCAAATGGCCTCTGAGTTGGTGTTGCATCACTGACCGTCGCAAACATTTGGGACTGTTTTCCGACAACAGCTGAGATCGGAATCGGCTGGTTCTGCCAGTATAAGTGTCACCAGGATTGCAGGTTCATTGATAGCGGTAAGCAAAGCATCAAGTCGCTTCCTCCGATTTCGTGTGCCTGACCCAATCAGTCCAATTGCCGTGAAATTCATTCTATAGAACTAGTTTACTTCCCCTCGAATGTCTTTACAAAGCTATTTGTACGTTAGAGCTCATGAGGATATCAGAAGACACACCTGTGTGTTCTCACGAGATTCTTTATGGGTTGATTCGATATTCTCACGTGACACGCATCGATGCTTTGATCTGTAAAATACAACTTCAATCCACAGCTTATGGTCGCGTTTTGATTTAAATGGCCTCAGGCATGAATAATTGTGGACATACCGGAAGATTTCTTTAATTAGATCTCCCGAGAGGTACTCCGAACCAATGTAAAGTGATTTGAACAAGTATATCACAAAGTGCTTTTTATCAAGCAGGAAAAAAATGATTTCACAAAAGTCAAACAAAAACTTCCTATTATGAGAACAGTTAATCCATTTCGCTATCTGGATTGATCCATTTTCTCTAATAGTCATCATCGATTCCTAAAAGGCGAAAAAAATTACTGAAATTATGTTAAAAATTCACGTGAAT